TTATTTACGCTCTTTGAGCTACTATATTCAGTCGTTCCATGTACATGCTGGTCCAAAAACCAAGTCAACTCTTACCAAACCACAAACAAGGGGTTACATTCAATAGCTGTGCAAAGGCAGTAAAATGAAGAAATTTATAACAAAACCCCAAGATAGATTCCATTAATCTAAAAAAAAAAAAAAAGGGCCTATCTTCTCATGCATGTGTGTAATTATTTCCATCTTGGGTTTAAAGTTGTCGAGTCACTGGCAAAGTCCTGTTCGGTGTCTGCACATCGATGGTGTTATGCAACAACTAATTATTTCCACTCACCCCCACAAAAAACAGAACGATAGATAGAGAGCAGAAAAAGTGGAGGTGGGGGAGTAAGTGATAACATAGACGAGGGAGGAGGAGGAGGAGAGATGTCAGGAGAGAGAGGGACGAGCAAGGACAAGTCAGGGAGATTATAAATGGAGTTGAAGGGCAGAGTTTGAGGGGAAAAAAGCAAAAGTTAGCAAGAGCATAAAAACAGGAAGAGTGAAGGGCAAAAAGAAAGAAACAAGCAGGAATTAAAAAATGTTTTTCCTTCCATGCATCATCGAAAATGAGAAAAATAAGAGTAAAGTGTTTCATCTTCAAAGCCTGTCTTTTACAAACAATCAAGCCATGACACCAAATATAGAAAGAGAGAAACATGAAAGAATGTGTCAAAGACAGACTTTGCCTGGAGTCCTTTTCCTCTTCCACCATTTTTAGCGGTTATATCATTATTAATAAGAAAAATAGAAACAGAAATATGTGTCATCGCCTCCAGCACAACTTCAATAAAGGAAGAGGGTTAAATAGGAAAAAGAAAGGACAGAATAAGATGTGCAAATTAACACATTAGGTCAAAGTGAGGACAAGGGCAGAAACTATACCCTCTCCCCTATATATGACTGGGTGCTTTATTTGCATTTCTATGACAAAGAACAACAAAAATGTTAAATAAATAATGTGCATACATACGACGTATTAGTGCCAGGCTAGATATTTCTTTTTTCATTCGAGAATAAAATCGTAATATTATGAGAATAAAGTAAAAAAAATCATGAGAATAAAGTCGTAACATTAAGAGAATAAAGTTGGATTTTATGACAACTCTTACAAAAACCACTTTCTTCCATAAAATATGGAGAATCTAGCATCATGTAAAGTTATACTTTGGCATCAGTTTGACAAATAAGGAAATCTTTTAGCACACTAGCATCAAACTGTAGCATCAAACTGGGCAGTTTATCAAAGTGGACTCAGGTTGCTGTTTGGTTGTTCTGGTTGGCAGTCATGCTGGTCGGAACTCGAACTTTTCTGAAATGGGTTGTGGTATGATGATGTATGAACTTAATTTTTGTAATTTTATTACTTTATTCTAGTAAATGTACAACTTTATTCTCATTAGTTGCGATTTTATTCCTGTAATATTACAACTTTATTCTGAAAATATTGCAACTTTATTCTCGTATTAAAAAAAGAAAGAATATCTCTAGCCTGGCCCTTATACTCAGTCGTATGTAAAAAAAAAAAACACAGATAGCTGTCTACGTTTTTTGACATGTCAAATAATTTAAAAACATTTTAAAAAATACAGTTCCCTTCATCTACTCCCGCCCAAATTACATAGGTGTTACGCAAACGTAGCAATGAAAAGAAACATAATTGAATCTCATGTTATGCAATGCAGATGCTAAGTCTGCACCGGTGAAGGTTTCCTCCCTTTGGAATGCCAACAGTCACAAAGAATGTTGTCTTTTAGTTTATTTTTGCTTAAATCTATGAAAAATACAGAATATACAAAAAATATGTTTTTTTTAGCAGCAAGATAGTGATGTTTGAAATGATTAGCTTTTACTCCACAGAGTTGATGACCAGCTAACATGAATTTTAGACACCTAAAATTATCAATAAATCCTTCTCTTTTTGTCTTCCATTATTCAAGAATCAGTCAAATAAAATAATTTAAAGGAAAAAAAAACCTGAAGTGATATTGATAAACACCAGCTTATCAGACGATCTAGCTACATCATAGGGAAGCAAATCATACACAAATAAGTGGTGGTTGAACGTTTTCCCTCAGCACAGTGGCTGTTGATTTAAGCCAAGAGAAACACTATGAACAAAGGAGGAAAGAACAAAAAAGGGTAGTCTAAATGCCATAATACTTTAAAAAAAACAAGACAGATCTCAGTCACACTCTCACTATCTTACCATCTATCCTTCATCACTCCATTACAACTTCACTGTACCTCACTTCATCATTTTATCACATCAGCTGACAGATAAGCCCCAATTCAACCATCTATCTTTCCCTTTTTTCTGCCCCCAGGCTCTGCTTGGGCTGCTGGTAGCATACAGCATAAATTAACAGCACCTACCCACTGAATATATTCCTCTGGTACGAAAGCTGAGCAGTAATAGTTGATCTGTAAACAAATGCTTAAAATGAAATCTAGCATAATCTCCAGCCTTAATAGCAATATTCTATAAAGATCACCTCTGTGGACTTTATCCAGCTGATCTTTGAAGGCTTTAGAGATTTGTTAGATAACCAGCCCTTCAAGGTTCTTTATGAATTTAATTATGAATGCATTTTGGCAACATGCTATCATGTCTGATGGCATGTGGTGTAGCTGAAAGAATGTACAGTACTATCTGTGTTCTCTAGGACCGTGCAATCATCTATCCCTCCTCTTTTCCTTTCAGAGTTGTGCAAACTTTTGTTTAAGGTTTGTTAGAAAACATTCCTGGACAAACAGCACTATGAAGACCAAAGAACACAGCAGATAGGTCAAGAAAAATATGGACAAGTTTAAAGCAGGGTTAGGTTATGAAATCGCATCCTTGGTTTTAGAAACGTCAAGGAGCTCTGTTCCTTGATCACCTACACTGGAGAAAGAGGGGCACAGCTAACTTTCAGAGAAATGGCTTTACATCTAAACTGACAGATTTGCAAAAGAGATGCTGTTATTATATAAGCCAGATGGTGACCGCAACCAAAGTTGGGGACACTGCAAAACATAAGAAAAACGGTCATCTGATCAAATGAGATCAAAATTCAACCTTTTAAGCTTTACAACACACCTGGAGGGAAATCAGCACTGTGAAACATGCTGAGCACACCATTAACCTGGTAAAGCAAGGTAGTGACAGCATCATGCTAGAGCAATGCTTTTCTTTTCTTAGCAAAGACATGCAAGCTTTTCACAGTAAATGGAAAGAAGAGCATTACTTTCTAGGACAACAAGCCAGAATATAGAGCCAGACCTACAATAGATCAGATCAGATCTTTTGTCAGGATTCTCCAATCGATGGGTAAAACCTAATTCAATTGAATGCAATCCAAATATATATCATCTCTTCATTATTGTTGCCGATTAAGAGGGATCTTTTAAAAGTAAACAACAAATTTAAATTCAAGCTTTCTCAAACTTTACGTTACAGGTCGGTCTCTCAGTTCCAGTTCTACTGATTTTACTTCTATAGGAAAAAACAAGAAATTTCAAGCTTTTAATTTTAATTTTAAAAAACCTTGACCGATTATAAAAACACCAGAAAATGCCTCTTAGTAGCAGAATATAAGAGTCATGAAATCTATTTGGACGAAAATGTTTTGCAGATCTGCTTTTTTTTTTTGCATTTCTCAGACTAGTAAAAATAATAAAACTTTTGACCAAATCTTTCTGCAAAATTCATTAAATATTCTGTCTTCCAGAAGCTCTGAATGAGATTGTGTGCGAGTGTGTGGCCTCTCGGGGCTACAAGCATTACTGGGTAGTCTGAGCATTTTCATTAGTTCCTCGAATGCCAAAAAAACCACATGGGTATGTTGAGCAGCTGCTGGGAGTACTAGAAATCAGAAAGGTCTATGATCTTTGGCACAAGGAGGGGGATGGATGTAAAACTCAGGCACATCTGCCAACCACCTTAACATCTATGTCTGTATATAAGGCATGTGAAAATTCAAACCTGCTTCCCTTCTCATTCCTTTGTGTTCAAATGGCCTAAATGTATGAATTATGTCCGTAGGTTTAAAAACTGTGCAATGTTTTGCTAATTCTGATGAGGACTCCAGTTTAACACATCAATTCTCAATGGAATGAAAGCTTTTCTTGGTTTTGGTCAGACCAGCTAAATAATTTGGGGAACATAAGGAAGTGGGATTTAGCCATTTTGGCTTTAAGTAAAAACCCCTTCTGCAGTTTGTGTGCGATTTCATTTGTATTCAAGAACTGCTGTAAAACATTCCAGTTCATTTGCAATTATATCTTTAGTAAACGATGTCAGCAGTTCAAAACTAAAGCACTCACCAGCAGCTTATAATATGCATCTCTTACAGTGTGGTAGATTAGGCAAAAGTCATTCAAATATATTGTTTAAATTTCTTGTAATTAAAACAAAACATTTTTTACCAATTAGAACATGGTTCTATAAAAAGATGTGCAAAGAGGGATACGTTTTTAATATTTAAACATCTCAATAATCCAATAAAAAATTAATTGGCATCACAACAATGATAGGAACTTCTATGTTCATTAGAAGCTGATTTTTCAGCACATCTCTGTCTCACGTGTTTGTCTAATCCTCAACCCCAGTTTGTTTACAATGTTGAACCATTTTCATCTGCCATTTTTATTTCATTATAATCATTATGTCCGCATGGAATGCAGATTTATTAACATGGTCTATACAATGACTAATTTCTTGAAGAGTTTTAAATAGTAGGCAGGTAAAATCAGCATTTGATTCAAACAAAGTAAACATTTGAGAATTATCATTTTGTGCAAAAATGGATTATGTCTTGTTAAGGAAAAAGCTCAAAATATGTTGTTCAAAAAACAAAAAATACTGGTCTTAACAGTTCACCCTTCACTTCAGCTGAAAAAAAAAACACATTTAATTTAATATGATATATAGCCTTCTGCATGCTCACAGTTAAACCAGCCCCTCCAGAAAGCCATCTTTAGATATAAATCCATCCTACCTGACCACAGGCTCTGGTATGGCTTCCAGGTTGGCTGGGACCTGCACTCCCTTCTCCCACTCTTGTCTCCAGGGGTCTGACAGCACGTAGAAGTCGTCTGGGCCGAGCTGGGCTGAGTCTGGCAGCTTCATGGCCGTGATGAGGTCTGTACGAAACACCTGGAGGCAAGAAAAAAGGGGGGTGAGTAAGAACATTTTTGCTTCCTGACTTAAAAATGACATTTATCCATGGGTGGAAGTGATTTTACAGAGCTTTCTTTTCTCCTTTGGTGATGACTTAAGGTACACCCAAATAGATTTTGACTTTTGCTTTTGTTTGTTTTTTTGATATACACGGTAATGAGCAGAGTAGAAATAAATGCAACAAAAAAAACACACACTGATTTTTCAATTAATAGCCCAACTGTTGACATTTTGAACCCGTGAACACCCCCACAACACCCATTGACTTCATTTTTAAATAACAAAACAATTATGTATTGCAATAACTGTTATTTCCCTGCTCTGGTGATCTTCAAATTGAGTTAGGAGATTACAGAGTTGTCTAAGGATGCCCACTTTACCCAAAAGCAGGCAGCGACAGAAAGTAGCACTTGGAAAAAAGTAACATGATTTTTGAACAATGTCTATCCCCATATATGAAGATGTTGCAGAGCAAAATTGAGCATAGCTGTATATGCAGCCACTGATGGGAGAAGAAAGGCAGAAATAGCCATAATGAGTTAGAGCAAAAGGAAGCAAGAGGAGGCATTAAAAAGGTAATCATTGCAATAAAATGTTGACATTAACCCTGAAACCTTTAAAGGTCAGCGCAAACAAAGTAGATGTAAATAGAGACACATTCAAATCCCTGCATGTAGGAGGATTCCAGAAATAAACAAGGTGCGCTCGGATGTGGTGTTTATGAGACCTGGGGGAGTGGGTGTATCAAAGCAGATGATCATTCTCACACATAGAGCCTCTGTCTGTCTATTCTGGGACCTGCAGCAGTGATATTGTAAGTCATAAAGTGAAGGGCATCAAGAATAAACAAAACATAAAAGAAAAAGCAAGCGGTAACATGGCGCTCTGCATCCCATCTTCTTTTAAAAGCTTTGTTTTGTTGTTCCACAGCTCAAAGTATCTTCTGAATCTGTAAAACTAGTGTCATCTCACTACATCCCTACTTATGATGTCGATATAAGACCACCAACGAGAAACAGGTTCAAAAAGAGGAAATAACAGAAGCTGAGGTGTGTAAAGTTCCCTTTGTATCTCTGCTTAGTTCTGTATCTCCGCTTCTGTTTCCTTGAAACCCAGACGGCCTCGACACACAGAGCCTGGTTCAGCTGGGAGTTTTTCCTCTCCACTGTCGGTACAAGCATGCTTAGTGTGAGGGATTACCTTTGAGTCAATAAGTGTCGACGCAAATAAGTGTTTTTTGCTTAGATGGAAAACTTTAAATCAGTTTGACTGTATGATCCAGTTGAATTTTATATGTAAATTGCATTGATATATATATATATATATATATATATATATATATATATATATATATATATATATATATATATATACTATTCCTTCCTCCAAGCTGGGGTCCTCTACCAGAGGCCTGGGAGCTTGAGGGTGCCCCAATTGCCCCACAGGTGCCACACATCTACATATTATATAACATTATATNTTTCTGTTTTTTCTTTTTACATATTTTGTTAAAAGGCCAAATAAGGACTTCAAACCAAAAAATAATTTTCTGTGTTGTTTTATTCTTGGATCGGGCTTTAAAGGGTTAATAAATTCTTTTAATAAAATGAGATCCTTAAAAATTATAATAGAGGAACTTTGATCACTCATTCTTGAAAGGAGAAAAGACAGAAAAATACCTCAAAACCATATCTGTGTCGGCCTTCCCTGCTCAGACTTGGGTCTGTTAACTTTTTAACCTCTGATTGTGTCCATAGGAACAGCTTGGATAACAAAGGGACAAAAACAGTCCTTGAGTAAACAGATGTTCACTGGACCAGATAATCCTGAGAGCCAGTGTGTATCTGCTAATTAAAAAAAAACTGTGTATCTGATAAAGAAGAGGGTGACAGATCCCTGCAGTCTGATCTGACAAGAGTGCATCTATTTCATGCAGGACATTTTCATAGACAATAACCCAATTAAATAGGAAAAAACAATATCCTCATGACAGGCAGGTTTTTAAAGTGTCGACCTGACTTAATCTCACAGTTCATATACACAGATGGCCTGTTGATTTTCTTTTTCACTAACAACGTGCAGCTTAGTGAGCAGGTGGATAAACAGCATTAGTAGCTGCAGCACATCAGAAAACTTCAGCTGGAACTACAGTCTGGGCTGTTAGCATGAATGTGGCTTTATCTTTACCAGTAACTTCATGGATTCTTAATCTGATGGTCTCAAATTTAAAACACAAAGTGAGTCTGTTTGATTTTATCAGTGCAGTTGTTTTCAGGGGAGCTAAACCTGGAAGTTACAGATCTAGCGCCCCTAGTTGCTAAAAGTTACACAGAGTTGCTTAAAAAGATGAAATTATTTTGATACTTATGAATATTTGTATTTTAAGTCACACAATTTTTCTTAGTTTATTCTTAAACAATTAAATCATTGCTTTTTTTTTCTTTAAGGTACTTCCTTGTCAGGGAAGAATATTTAATTATTTCTTTAATATTAAAAACATTTTTGCTTAAATTCCTACAAAGGACAGAAATTTAATGTTATAATAATTTTGTGGGATTATAATCCTTCACTTCATTTTACTTTTGTGAGACAATACCATTTTAATTTTATTTTGCTGTTACTATGAGATGTTAAAACCCCAATCAGATTAGATAAAACTGTAAAATCCAGAATTAAATTAACAAATGACTTTCTTTAAATTCTATATTTAAAAAAATGCAAAAAACAAAAAACAACAACCTGTCATTCCAAATCTTGCCAGAGTTTATCCGGATGCACTGTGCCTCAAACCCAGACTGGTGGATGCCCTCAGAAGAGCAGATCAACAAAGTGTTCAGCGACGCTGTTGGCCACGCCCGCCAGGGCCGGGCAGTGGGGACATTCCTGGGCAGCAGCGGCAGCAGCACCAGCAGCATCTACATGGACGGCTTTGACGGACACCTTTCACAGGATGAGCTGTTCCTCAAAGGCTGCCAGAATGGCCAGTTAGACTGAAGGTATACAAAATACACTGCTTAAAAAAATAAAGGGAACGCCCAAATAACACATCCTGGATCTGAATAAATCAAATATTCCCAATGAATAATTTCTTCTGTAAGAAGTTGAATGTGCTGCCAATTAAATTACACAGAAATCATCAATGGAAATCAAATTTATTGACCAATGGAGGCCTGGGTTTTAGAGTCAAACACAAACCCAAAGTGGGAAAATACACTACAGGTTAATCCAACTTTGATGTAATGTTTTAAAAGAGGTCAAAATGAGCCTCAGTGTTGTGTGTGGACTCCATGTCCCGGTATGAACTCCCTACAATGCGAAAGTATGCACTTGATGTGGTAGTGGAGGGTCTCCTAAGGGATTTCCTCCCAGACAAGGACTAAAGCCTCCGTAAACTCTGCCAGTCCATAGCTTGAATGTCTTCATTTTGCAGAAACTGTTGACACACTACAGCCACATTAAGCCTAGCATTGCTCTGCATTAGATGGAATCCAGGGCAACTGCACCAGCATATGGTCTATCAAGGGCTCTGAGGGCCTCATCTCAGTACCTAATGGCAGTCATGCTACCTCTGGCGAGCACATGGAGGGCTGTAGGGCCCTCCAAAGGTATGCCACCCCACACCTTTACTGACCCACTGCCAAACCAGTCATGCTGATGGATGCTGCAGGAAGCAGATCACTCTCTAGACTCACATCTGTCAGATGCGCTCAGTGTGAACCTGCTTTCATCTGTGGTGAATTTGCCAATCCTCGTGTTATCTGGCAAATGTCAAGCATCCTGCACTGTGTCGGCTTATGAGCAAAACGCCCATCTGTGGAAGTCGGACCCTCATACCTGTTTTAGGTTGTTTTGCAGGGCTCTGCCAGTGCCCCTTCTGTTCTTCCTAGGACAAAGGCGGTCCTGCTGCTGGATTGCTGCCCTCCTACGGCCTCCTCCACACCTCCTGGTATACTGGCCTGTCTCCTAGTAGGCTCTCCAGCCTTGGGACACAGATAACCTTCTTGCCACAGCGTGCATTAATGTGCCATCCTGGGTGAGCTGCACTATCTGAGCCAGTTGTGTGAGTTGTAGAGTCTGTCTCATGCTACCATGAGTGTGAAAGAAGCACCAACATTCAAGTGACCAAAACATCAGCCAGAAAGTATGGGTACTGAGTAGTGGTCTCTGGTTCCCACCTGCAAAGCCACTTCTTTATTGAGTGTGTCTTGCTAATTGCCACTCGTTGTCTATTCCTTTAGCACAACAGCATTTGCAATTGTCAGTCAGTGTTGCTTATTAGTGGGCAGTTGGATTTCACAGAACGTAGATTTAATTGAAGTTATATTGTGTTGTTTATGTGTTCCCTTACATTTTTTTTTAGCAGTGTATAATGAAGCTTAATATGTAGCTGTACAACAACATATCCAGAAACACCAACCTTTACCTGAAAACATTCCAAAAGAAAATGTATTATACAGAATAAAACTTAAGCCCTTCTTTAAAATTATTTTATAACCTTTTTGGTTGTTTTATACTTACCGGTACGTTTATTTTGTTTAAAATATGACTCTTGGCAGTTTTAAATGAATAACTATTTAAGTCTTCCTATTTTCTACTTTAAATATAACTCAGTTTTATTTATTTGTCAGTCGGTCATATTTCTGTTTTGTTTTTTGTTTAGGTGTGTTTCAGATAGTTATTTTTATTATTCAATGCATAATGATGTTAAATTTGCTTTATATCTACAGATAAAGTTGCACCTTTATGTTATTCATTACTGAAAGTAGCATTTATCAGGAGTGCCTCTGAAAACGACACCTTCGCTTTTCCTCTCTGCTGCTCTTTGACATTCATTACAGAATTCATGTTAATTTTTTACTGTAGCAGTTAGAATAAGTTGAAACCAGATATTTACTTACATTGTAGAAGTCAATGATAAATAACCAAATTTATTGCTGCCTCACATTAAATCAGACTAAACTTTTCAGATTTTCATT